TACAATTTTTTTTTTATTAGTATTGTTGTCCTTTTCATAGGTCTGACATTTTTCTTCTTGAGGGGAAGCTAGTCTTGCTTTTGCCCATTTCGGATCAAATGTTTATTGAAGCGTTTATCTTTTCATATATCTAGCTGATAAAAAGTATTTGTCTGCACACCCTGTGTACTCGTGATGAGGGCAATGAGAATTGAATTGAGGCTGTTTTCATCCATAACAAACTCAAAATTCTGGTCAGTTGATAATTTTCACATAGCCCTGTTACATTTACAAAGTGCAAAGTAACCACTCTACTCACAGCATGGGATCATTAGAAGCACGCATTTGGAAGTCTGTCCTTGAAGGACTACTAATAGGAAAGTTGGTATTAATCTTTACATGAGCACTTGACTTTTTTTTTAAACTCCCACTATCATGTAATGGCAGTTATGTTTGCAGTTCCCACGTTACAGAAGGCCTGAGAATGTATCCCCAAAAGCGTGAGCTTAAAATACATGACCGCTGAATGAAGTTTTTTGGTGGACAGTAGTCCTGGCAAAGGCTCTGAAAAAAAAAAAAAAAAAAAGTGGTAACTGTAAATGACTTCTATTTATCTAAATACGGATTGCTTAGGAAACTTGAGACTCCATTAAAGGTATTTGTAATTAATTAGGCCAACTTTTAAAATTGTATGCCACATTTAAGATCAGGTATATTTTCCAAATTATAGTTTGCTCCTTTATAAATCAAATAGACACAAGGGAAGAAGACACTTTGTATCACAGATTGAATTGTCCAATTTATTGAATTTGATTTTTGTAAGACTCAAAAATCATTAGGGTCATATGGTTATCCGCTTAGCTCTTGAGGAAACAATTTGGCAATTTTGTGTTTTTGACATTATCATTCTCTTACGGTGCCAGTGTTTTAAAATAGCGTTCTTTTAATTTTACATGCTTTTGTGATAGAGTGCTGTTTTGTTACATAATTTTGACTTGGATATTTTCATTTGCATTTGTTTATGTAATTTCAGGAGGAAAACTCAACATCTGAGTCCTGGATGATACTAATAAACTAATAATTGCAGAGGTTAAAAAAAAAAAGAAAAACTAATGAGAAATTGAGTATATAGTATAAACAACATGAAATCTGAGACTGTGAGAACATTTTGGAAGCCCACATCCACTTTTTCACTTTACAAATGAGGAAATCTGAATCCCTGAGACTATAGGTACCAGGTACCAGGCCTTTAACCAATTTATTGAGTCCATTTTATAGACGGGCCTAGCTTTCTTTCTCACAAGCAACCTAAAGAATAAAAGGCAATCTGCAATGCAATCCCTCTTGTGGATGCAAAATACAAGTAATTGATAGTGCTTTGAAATACTGCCTCTAATTGCCACGGCAGCCAGTTTAAATTCCTAAAATTCTCCCTGTCCAGTCCCAACTGGGTGCTATTTTGCAAGTCAATTGTATCATTGATAAACAAATAAAAAAACACATAAAATCACCCAGGGTAGTGAATTTCTAATAGAACAAAACTTGCCTACTCTGCTTTTTCACAGGCATGTGACAAAGCATTTTGAAAAGATTCAGAACAACATGCATATTTCATTTAAACATTTATTTTTAAGCTGAAGATGTATTGTTATTCATTCACTCCAGGGGTATAAATATTCCAAGAATATCTACAAATAGTAACTGATATAAGAATCATAGTATGCATCTTCTTGGACAAGAATTAATAAAAATTCTAATGAAATAAATTTTCAGTCAATTTTGGAACATATATCCAATTCTAACATAGAGAGCACTCCTGAGTTCAACTGACAACTACTGCAGCACATTTCCATCGGCACAAAATGGAAAACAAGCCCCCTTTATTTTTAATTATCTTATAATTTTCTGAAGAAGGTGAGTATTTATATTCCCACAACCACTCCCTAGTCCAAGCCACCATCATTTCTTGCCTAAAGCCCCAACAGAGCTCCCTTTGCTCTACTCTGACCTTTCTCTAATCCTGTCCTGCTCTTAGAATAATAAAGTACAAACTCCTAAGTTTGGTCTACAAAGCCCGTGCACTCCACCTCTGCCTCCTCTACAGTTTCCTCTCCTCCATTCTCCCTTCCTGTTCAATCTACTCCTACTCACATTAGCCTTCTTTCTCTGCTGTGAAAGTAAACTTGGTCTTGTCTGTAACCTTTGAACTTACTGTTTCTGCTGTCTGAAAACTTTTACCTCATTCTTCAAATAACTGACTTAAGCTTACAGATTTCAAATATAATCTCTTCAAAGATGCTTTACCTGAGTAGTTGCTTTCAACAAGTACCCGACTTCTCACCTCATCACCTTCTAAAAATGACAATATGCTGTTTATTTCCTACATCACCCTATTCACTTTCTAAAAACAGAAAAATGCCTGCATCTATTAGATATATCTTATACATGTTAACATTAATAAAAAACCTTCCTTAAGACTTTTAAGCTGTCATGACTTATATGACGTTGACATTCTAAAACTGAACAAAGGGGCCAACTAATAAAAAATATCTATCTACTTACACACCCATTTGTCTATCTACCAATGTTGTGAAAAGAAATGGAACATTTAGCGGAAAAAGCAATAACGGTTATAAAAGAACCCAAAATTCAATTACCCACAACTAACTTAGACATGTCAACTTCATTTTCCTAGACTTTGATTTGTATATCGAATGGGTTACGTTAGATAATTTTAAAATAAATTTCCAGTTCTAAATTTTAGTCATTTGAAGTACATATCCCTAAATTAAAAAATCATTAATATTCCATTAAATGTGCATCTATAATAACTTGAGCACAGGGAAATAGACATTTCAGTCACTCAGTTATGGGCTTTCTATCCATTTGTAGGTTATTTGTGCTGAAATTTTTCCTTTTGATGTCTCATCTTGAGTGTCTTCCATTTCCTCCCCGAGAGTGGGGGAAAAGAATATTATAAAATTATACTAAATTATGTAGTCATTCCTCCCGTAGGAAATAAATGTACTTCTGATAATGTATGTATGCCAAAATTTTTAAATAATCCAGGGGTACTAAGAAGAATCATTTTTTAACACATGTATTTGCTAAGCATGTGTTACCACTGTTTTCTAAATAACATGCAATAATAAATTTGTTGCTCTTTCTGTTAAAACTAAATCCAGCCCAGATGGTGTGGCTAAGTGGCTGGGCATTGACCCATGAACCAGGAGGTCACTAGGTCAATTCCCCTTCAGGGCACATGCCCGGGATGCAGGCTTGATTCCCAGTAGGGTGCATGCAAGAGGCAGCCAATCGGTGATTCTCTCTTATTATTAACATTTCTCTCTCTCTCTTCCTCACCTTTCCTCTCTTTCTAAAATAATAATAAAAAAAAAAACATAAAAAATTAAAATAAATCCAAAAATTTCTCATGGGAGAAGTACTTCCTACTACCACACTGAAAAAGAAAAATCAGAAGTATGATATAATATAGAAGTAATAATAATAATAATAATACATACAAAGATAGAAGTGGGTAAAGACAGACCAGCCAGAATAAAGGGAGACTAGGGGGACTAACTCTTCAATATAATAGTGATTTTTTCCATTTCAATTCAAAGGAAGCAATGATAAAATTTAAAGGAATTGGTTGTGAAAAATCTAAACCATGTAATAAAATTAAGGGAAACAAACTTAGAAGATGCCGTAAGTAGAATTAGTTTGAGGCAAAAGGAAATGCTGGCAGCAAGATAAGGAAAAAACAAGATGACAGGAGGTCCTGCAGCACTCAGAGAGAATGATCATGGGACTACTCTAATGCAAAGTAGGGGTACCCACAACAGTATCCACAAGAAAATCCTAACTTAAAATACTTCATATAAGAAAACTTGTAATAATAAGTTCTGTAGCAAACTTAAATTAGTTGACTGCTATCTTAACCTGGCAATAAAATTGCACTGTGAAGCAAAAGCAGAAGTGGTTAGGCAATAAATTGTGTGAAATTACATGCTGTGTTATGCTGGGAAGATAAAGCATCACAAACCTATAAACATATCCATACAATGTAAACAAACAAATGGACTTGTGGTTGGTTCAGGGTATCCTCCATTTGACTATTTCCATGTTCCACACTCATACCCTGTCACTGATTTATTGTTACTCACTGGAAAATGCTAAAACAAATTAAATATTGTATGAGCATATTAGCTTTAATTTCTCAAGATTTAATTTTCATCCATCTTTAGGTTTACTACTTGATAAAAACTAACACACAGCAAAGCCAATAGTGGCCAAAAAAACTTTTTTTTTTCCTCAAGGGATCAGCAAAAGGAAATGTTTTGTGGCTCACCAAAAGCCATTCCATCTGAAAATCTGGTAGAAATAAGCACATCTTTCACAACACCAAACAAGCTATATTACTTTGCCTCGCTTAACACATGACTCACTACTAATGATAGAGTGGATGTGACAGAGTTGTTACATAAGTTCACTCTGGTATAATCCCGGCCCAGGCTAAACTGAACGAGAGAGCCATCGTTTACACTGTGCACAGTTGATCCTTGACCTCAATCACAGGCATGTAGAGGCTGGTGTGCATCTATATCTTCTAAGACTTTGAGGCCAAAATGTAAACCTCTGAAACTTCAAAATGACACATTCCATAAAAAATGCATTATCATTTACAATGAAAAGAGAGCTAGTAGTTGGATTATATATGATACATCAGGCCAGGAGAGAGATGTTTTCCCAATGAGACCTCATTCAAACTCCACAGTGATGTTGAATGAAACAACTGTGAAAATGCCTTCCCTACGGAAGTTCTATGAAAATGACTAAAGGAAAACATAGTGGGTAGCCCTCTTTAAGATGCCTGTTTTGAGTGAGAAGGGAAGACTATGCTAACTCTGCAAGAACAAAGTCAATGTCCTCCCAAAACGTTCTTTACTAGCGAAACCTAAATCTCATACCAACATTAATAGGAAATGTGGGGGACATGGAAAAAACTCTCAACCACTCACCATAATGCATGTAACAGTTTCCTTTGGTGGGATCCAGCTCAATAGCCTTCAAGAAGAACTTTTCAGCCTCACTCTTACGACCCTTGAAAAACAGAGAAAATGGATGATTCAGCAGCGGATCACGAGGGAGTCTTCTCCTCCTGGGCCCCAGCGAAGTGGACTGATGTCTAGTTGATAATCATCATAAAAAATGTATTGTTTTTATCTGAACAAAGATGGTCAAGGAGAATGTACTGAGAGAGAAGACTGAAGCCGGAGTCCTGGGAAACACCAAGATTAGAAGAACAGACAAAAGTGAGTTCATCAAAGATCAAAGAGAAGCAGCCAGGGAAGCAAGAAAAAAAGTAAAAAATGGTTTCACAGAAACCAAAAGGATAAGATAGATAGAAGGAATGACGAGAAACACTGTCATCATTGTCTATTTTATATTCTCCCTTCAATTGCTTCCTTTTTAGTCCTTCTTCTTCCTTGTAAAGAATTATGGCCATTTTAGCTTTGGAGATGATTTTATCCTAATTGCTCACTTTATACATGAAGAAACTAGTCAAATTTGTTGAATATCAAACAATACAGTTTATCTAGGACTTGCTGCTGTCATTCAGGATTAACATACTGCTAATCCAGGATTCAATCCAAAACTAGGCTATCTTCCTAGCTATAGCCTTAAACATTACTGACTGCATCTATGCTGACCGCAAGTGGCATCAAGGCACTGGGTAGTGTCCCGTAGCCATGGTACCAAGTTAAAAAAAAACAAAAAAAACCCAAAAATCCCCACACAATCTTATCTACCTGTTCCTTCTAATTTATATACTACCTACCACATTAACTTCAAATTATTTTTTTCTTTCTTAAAACCACTCTTATGGAGATAAGTCTTCCAAAACTAGAAGTATATAATGAACCTAAGATTCTACACTACATGCAACTTTGATTCATTTTTCCATATACCCTCTCCTTTAAGTTTATTCCTTCATTTACAAGATTCACTCTTGCTTGCACATTCTTTGCTCATTCATTTCCTAGCAGGTAAGACCTAGCCTACAGCCTCTGCCATATACAGCCAGTGTTCATCAAATGATCAGACAACAGAGTTCATTTCTTTTTTTATTTTAATAATGTTTCTCCAGCCAACAATTCCTCTTTAACTCACACATCTCATCAAATATCCAGTAGTTAAAATTTTAATTCCCTGAAGTATTTCTCCCAGCACTGTAACTTCAAAGAGAAAAAAAGGAAAACACAAGCAAAATGCTTCATACACATATCATACTTCCATGAAGTCAGTAAAAGTTCGCAATAATCTTACCAAGTTAGGATTCCTAAATGATAAATCACTGTAATGAGTCAGATAGTCTAACATACGAATTAAGAGCTAGATGCTAGGCAGGCACAGCAGCACCCGCATTTGTGTAGCTATGTGACCATCAGAAAACTATTTCATCTCGTAGCTGGAATTTTCTCTATTGAAACCAGAAGATAGGTGGAGCACAGAAAATATTTAGGGCAGTGGAAACTAATTGGTATGATACTATAATAATAAATACAGGTAATTACACATTTATAAAACCCTATAGAATATATAACACAAAGAGTGAACCCTAATGTAAACTATGGACTTTAATTAATAGCAATGTGTCCATATTAGCTCATCAATTGTAACAAATGTACGTCACTAATGCAAGTTCATAATAATAGGAAAGCTATGTGAAGGGTGGCAAGATGGTGAGGGAGCATATGGGAATTACCTGTAAATTTGATTCAATTTTTTTATACCTAACACTTCTCTAGAAGTAAAATATATTATTTCAAAAGAGGATAATGAAATAGTTCATAGGATGTTAAATTTCTGAGGTAACACACATAAAGTCATTATTATATACTTACATACACTGTAATTTTATAATAAATGTTAATTATTATTTTATATGTACATATACAGTATGCAACAGAATGCAGAATTATGAATGACAAAGAGTATGTTCTTTTATACACACCACCTCAAAAACACATGGTCAGCTTTAAATCATCACTGGAAAAATGATGTACAAAGAACTTGCAGATGATATTAAAAGAAAGATGCAAAAAGAAAACTATCATTGGTGGAGAGTCTGTACAAATGTTATATGCAAAGATAAAAAGGATCTGTGAACTTTCTTCCACTTAAGTTTTTTAGGACAAAAGAGAAAAAACTGGTTCATTTATCAATGTCATAGTAAATAGGGTAGTAAAATCCTCATCTGTAGTCAACTGGCAAAATAATCGTACACGGCATTAAAAACAGCCACCAGAATGCAAAGGCAGTGATCTCTGGTTACTCCAGGGGACAGGTTATTAAAGGCAACGAGTCCCACCAGTTCCTTGATACAAAATAAACACATTGAAGGACAGAACACTCTTCCTGGGGGTAAGTATCAAAACATCATGCAAAAACCTATCTTTTTGCTTTGACTACTATTTATTTAGTCAAGTGCCAAATAATAAAGAGGAAAATAATATCCTACAAGAATATACAAAATCAAACGTCAACCAAATGCAGAAGCATGTAGATACACACATTACTAGCTCTTACTAAGGGATTATGGCAGCTGAGAGATAACACTCGGTGATCCCACTTCTAGGAATATATCCAAAGAACCCCGAAACACCAATCAGAAAGAATACATGCACCCCTATGTTCATAGCTAATTTACAATAGCTAAGATCTGGAAACAGCCCAAGTGTCCATCAGTAGAAGAGTGAATAAAAAAGATATGGTTCATTTACACAAAGGAATACTATGCAGCTATAAAAAAAGAAAGATCTCTTACCCTTTGAGACAGCATGGAAGGACCTGGGACCTGGAGAGTATTATGCTAAGCGAAATAAGGCAGTCAGAGAAAGACAAGCATCACATGATCTCACTTATATGTGCAATCTAAGTAACAAAATAAACTGATGAATGGAATGGATCCAGCGACATGGAACCATGCAACAGACTAAAGAATCTCAGAGGGAGCAACAGGGCAGGTGTGGGAAGAGATGAACCAAAGAGCTTATATGCATTTATGCATAACCCACGGACACAGCCAACAGTGTGGCAGGCCTGGGTGGGGGTGCCTACCACACTGTTGTCTGTGTCAATGGGGGGTGAGGGGAAAGGGGACATCTGGAATACTTTCCACAATAAGGATACATTTTAAAAAATTACTCTTTCAACTGTCATTGGTTTGGTTTAGTTTTGAGGGATGGAAGAAGAGAAGAGAACAAAATTTTTCTCAGCATGTTTTTCTGGATGTCTTTTAGATTACGTCAGCATTTCCTAAAAGAATTATGGAGTAACCACTGGTTGTAAAAACTCCTCAAATCAAGCACCATTACTCATTTTATATATTGGCTTGGATATCTGGACACGTGTGTTGGTTCAGAAAAAAAGGGGCGGTGGGGACTGTGGTCAGCTGTGACAAATAAGGGGAATGTGAGTTAAGAAACTCGGGATCTTCTGCCAGTTCTGTGACTTGTTTATTTGTTTGTTCCTTTATTGTTGTAGGTTAGAAATTATTTATTGAATGCCTACCATTTGCCTTACACAGTTCCAAGCACCAGGGATATAACGATGAACAGAGTGCTCGCCCTCTGTTCTCATTACAGGAGGCCCATGATGAACATATTACCCAGTAGCAAGGGAATTAATTAGTCCCAGAGCACAGTGGGCAAACAATTTCTCCAATTCTCTTTCAAAAAAAACCAAACCTAGACAGACAAGCCTGTGTTTGAATCTTGCTCTCTGTACTTACTTAACTGTGTGACTATGAGTATCTTTTATAATAACTTAGTCTCTTTTTCCTCATTTAGAAAAGTGAACACAATTTTGAAGGATTGCTAATAAAATCACAAATAACTAGCTTCAGATCTGGCACATAAAGTTCTGGCATTCTTTGATTTTTCTTTCTTCTAGCTCTTAAAAAGAATTTATCCTCCCAAGTTTAATGTCGCCAAGTGGTTCCTAATTACCAAAATTCAAAAATCCATTTTAGAATTTCATGTCATGGTAGCAACTAAATGTCACCATTTTCCTACAAAATGATTCTCACCACTAACGCTTTCTCCTCTCTCAAATAAAAGCTCTTTTAGTTCACATCTAGAGTGCAACAACAGATTTCAGATTTCCTCAGTGAATTTCATTTCACCAGATTAATGTTTCTTAAGCAGACTGTTTTGGGGATGCCTTTATCCAAAAATATTTTAATAGCTCTATGTTTTCACTTTTTTCTTTCTATTTTTTATTTTTTAATAATTCTTTATTGTTTAAAGTATTACATATGTTCATATGTTCTCAATGTCCACCAAATGTCATTTCAATGAAACACTATGAATCTATTAAAATGATTTTGTAGAAAAGTTTTAAACCACAAGAGATCTTCATGATCCACTGCTAAATGAAATACGCTGTAGCCTATGTCCTAATTACTTGTTGTTGTTTTTTAAAACTGAAAGAATATTTTTAAGAGAAAATTGACATTATCTGAATCAAAGGATAATTTTACTGCCGGGGTTTCAAAGGTAAATGAAAGTATTGATCCCTCAGTATTTCAAGAATGATGGGGAGAGAAGTACTCATCTGGAGTGGACTGATAGGGATAGCGCTGTATCAGTGCCGACTTGTGTCTTGAGTACACAGCACACTTAGCCTACTGAGAAGGGCAAAAGAAGGCTTCAGAAATGTGACGTTTCATGCCATAGAAATGGAATAAGCTCCTGCTATATGACAGGCTGTGTTCCAGGTCTTGGTCATCAAGACAAAGTTCCTGCCCTCCTGCGGTTCACATCCTAGTGGTGTAGTGGATAGTTTGCACAGGAGCAGGTGACACTGTCAGTTGCTCTGAAGTCCTCTGGTAAAATATAACACAGGCCAAGGGAAAAGAGCAATACTCTCCCGGGGGTAGAATGGGGTGATGTTTGATAATGTGGCCAAGAAAGGCATTTAGTGGCATTTGAGAAGCAACCTAAGAAAAGGAAGCAAGTGAGCCATGCAAAGGTTGGGCATGCATGGAGTGTTAGGGCCTCACAAGACCATCAATATGGCATCGGTGGAGTACACCC